AACGCTCGGAACACAAATTCCTCCTTAACTTACACCTGCTGCGCTCCTGTCCTTGTTTGTCCCACTGCTTCATGCAGATTATCATGCTTAATTTCATAATAGCCCTGAGCTAGTTTAAATACTTAATTTAGGTCACTTCTAGTCTCCTATGTAGGCTAAATAATCTCTCCTTAACTGGCCTTGGACACAAATCCCTCCTGTCCACCTCCTGCACATTGCTTCTGGCACCCCTGTCCCCTCAGCTTCTTCCTAGCAGAGAAATGTGATTGAAAACATTTCCTAATGAGGATGCCAAACTCTGTTAAAGGGGGAAAAAAAAGAGTTAAAATGTTTTTGACCAGAAAGGGAAAAAGAGTATTTTTGGCTATTAAAACTATTTCTTTTAAATACTCAATTACTTAAGGGAGACTTTTAATTTTTATTTGAAATTTTTAACCATTTAAATTTAACTGCTTAAAATCTAAATATGGTTTATTTGCCCAGAAAAAAAACATCCTCTACTTTTCAGTTAGGTGCATTTTTCTTATCTACATTTGCATTTCTCTGAAGTCATTTCCCCTCCTATTCTTTCCACTTGCCTTTTTAAATACTCAATTACTTAAGGGAGACTTTTAATTTTTATTTGAAATTTTTAACCATTTAAATTTAACTGCTTAAAATCTAAATATGGTTTATTTGCCCAGAAAAAAAACATCCTCTACTTTTCAGTTAGGTGCATTTTTCTTATCTACATTTGCATTTCTCTGAAGTCATTTCCCCTCCTATTCTTTCCACTTGCCTACAAACTAAAGAATTCATTATTCATTCAGCTCTCTGATTCGTTTCTTCTGGGGGGTAATTCCAAGCCACAAAATTCAAAACCAGGCTTCTGCTTACCCAAAACTCAAGGCTCTTTGATATCAAACTACCTCCAGCTTTGTTAAATAAGGAGCCCCATCATACCATCAATCTTTCAGTAGAGATCCCTGCTGAGCTCTGCTGTCTTGGCTGCCAACGCTTCATAGATATATGTTAATGAACATACACATGAACATACAGATGTACACACACTTTATATATGTTTTTTTTTTTATCACTAGCCGAAGGTGACCCAGACTGGATGCTATGCCAAGTAATTCAAACTCAGCTCCTTCTCAGAGCAGAAGTCTGCAATACTGGGGGCGGGGGGGAAGTTCATAGCGAGCACTGGTGGTTTTGAAGAGTCTTTTTTTATTTCCTTTCCGGCTGCCATACTAACGAACCTCATGGGGGAAACCATGCCAGAGGAAGAGGCAAAATGAGGCTACCAAAGTCAAAAGAAGAAAATATAAGACTCTTTTGACAAGACAGAAAATGAGGCACAATTAGGGAAGACTTATTGGCTTGAAAATGATAATGGATAGAAAATAACAGGTTTTTTTTTTTATCTAGTGACATCCGCAAGGACCATGCACCGGGGGTGTAAAATGCTAACGTTTCAGTTATGTTTTTACTTACTGCCAGAGGCTGAGCCTGCAGCTGCACCTGGAAAAAATAAGAAGAAGCCCAGTCACTGGAAGCAGGACTCCATCGGCTCTGACACCAGCTGAAGATCAAACAGGTATATGATGGGGAACTGAACAGCAAGTAATTAACGGTAGGTAAGGGGGGTGGGAGGTGTGTGTGTCTTGCTCTTAGGAATATCAGTGTGCTGCGACATCTTAAAAGCTGCTTTTGTCAAAACACAGAAGCAACCAGATGATGCTGTCTGGGATCTTGGCATCTCAAGCCTTTCATCTGGGGAAGAACAACGGGTTTTTCTGTCAACCATTTCCTTGACCTACCATTAAAGCCCAGCAAAGGACAAGCACATCTGGGCTAAGTACAAGCTGTAGATCTGAACAAGGTTGTTGTGTCTAGGGCAGTTCTCTGCGAGTGAGAAGGGTTGAACACCCTGCCCAGTACAGCACTTGCTCAATAGGATGCTGCAAAGCCACTGGCTTCAAACCCATCAGTCCAAGGCCACCCGACAACCAGCTTCTGGATTTTGGCACCCAGGAGACTAGTGGCCACGGTTCTCTCTGCTGTAACAAGCAAGTGAATCACGGTAAGCCTCAGCTTTGCATGAATATAAAGCACAGGACCACCAAGAGCAGAGAACTTCAGAGAATTGCCCCTTGCAGAGGAAGAGGATGTCGATGGGGAAGGAGGAAGCAGCAGAGAGACAGTCGGGGTGGAGGGGAGGAAGACGACTGAGTGACAGATGGGAAGAGAGACGAATGGGAGAAGAAAGAGGAGAGGAGAAAGAGAAATAGGAAGAGACACAAGGAGCGGAGGGGAGGGAAAATGTCTGTGCCTGTCAACACCAGAAACTCTCCCAGGCTCCTTTGAAGCAATGCAGCCGCTTGGTGGGAGCTGACAAGCTCGCTCCCTTTCAAAGAACCTGCTCATCTACCAGCCCTGGCACACACGAAACATTCCCGTCATGGCCTTCGGAGCCCGAATTTCAGCTTTGATCATCTTAAAGCACATAAATCTTTCAAAAAAATGGAGAGGAGGGAGGGAAAAGATTCTCTTCGGTAATGCTCAAAGCCGCTGCTTGAAAGGCTGGCGTGGCTACTGTGGCTCCGTGACATTTAAACGAGTCTGCTAACGTGGACTGGACAGAAACCCAGGAGAAACCGGCCCATCTGTGATGTTTCCTGCCCCAATTCCCCTGCTCGAGTGATGGTGGATATGCATCCTTCATCTCGTCTGCGCGCCTTTGCTTCTGTCAGTGCCTTGCTCCAGCAGGCAATTGGAGGAGACTGGAGCTGCGCAGATGGGCTGCAGCGCACAGCGCCTGCCTGAAATGCTGACACACACAGAACGGGATCCAGAAAGCAATCCAGAAAGGATCCTGCGCTGCCGCAGCCGAGTAGTGCCAGCGCTCAGCCCATGGACTACCTGACAGCCAGCACTCTACTGTGGCTAAATAATATCTTCTTCAAAGGACAGCAATTTGCACAGCCACAAAGCCATGGGCCAAGGTCATCCTTCCTACTCTTGACCATCATTTGGACTCTTCACTTACCTACCAGTAGCCAACAAATCACCTCTGCATCCACCCAGATCCCTTCTCAGTTCCCTCTGTACCAAGACCCGGGTAAATACCCACTTCCTTTTCGAAAGGTGAGCATCCCACACTGATTTAGGATGGAGAAGGACAAGATGAAAATCCGCTCCCCTCTGCAGGCATTGTACGGCCCGAGCTGGGAGCGCAGCCAGGGCCAGCTGGCTGCAGGTTACTCACATGCATTGGGGGACCCGTTGGGGAGAGGCAGGTAGGATCCTGCTCGCCAAGACCTGGAGCGAAAGTTCTTCTTGCACTTGCCGCAGTCCTGCCCCGTGGTGTTGTGCTCGCACTCGCACTGCAGGCTGCCCTCTTTGAAGGTGCACAGGTTAGCGTGGAGGTTGCATTTACACCTGGAAGAGGAAGACAGGAGAAGAGCTGTCAGGTGTTACTTCTACTCCCCCTTGCCCCTGGTGTAGTGCTGTTTGTGTGCATCAAGATTTAGGGGTGAAGCTGGGCTGGGTTCCCCTTTTCTGTTCCTTCTGCAGGATTTTTTCACTGAACTCAGCTGTTACCCCCAGGTAACTGGTGCTGGGGTTATGATGTCCATCTCCTTGCCCAAGGTGGATATTCAACCTCTGTTCCAAGATGAGAGATGCTTTACCCCCACCATCCGACTGCAGTAGCACAGATCATTTAACGGTAAGTCAACAACTCCAGCTGAGACTCCAGGAAGGAATCACATTTTTTCAGAGATCTGAGTGATTAACTCCGGTGTAGGCACTGACATGGATGCAGAAAGGACAGCCTCAGGCTTTAGATGGAGGAGCATGGCTAACACTGGTGGGACTCAGCCCTGTGACCCCAGCGTGGTGTGATAAAGTCAAGCGTATTTTCTCCTGTGGTGTGAAGTCGCGCAACACAAACCCTTTTCCCTACGTGCAGCAGCACAGCCCCAGACTGCTGTGACCAAAATAACACAGAGAACAAGTCACCATCAGAATCTGCCTTTTAGTCCCCGCCTCATCAGAGAAGGCAACAACGAAAAGCACTGTTCAGCAATTTGCAAACATTAACAAACTTTTAATGAGCTGTAGTGCAGTATGCAGGGAATAATTATCTCTGTGCACAATAATTCCTGTTGCTCAGACTCCGGAGGCGACTTGTGCGGAGCACAGAGGCTGAGCCCATAACTCACACGTGGCTCTGGTGACTCGTGGGCCCGAGTTCAGGCCATCAGACAGAGGCTTTGGGGACCAAACCCTCTCATTTCATTCCTGACAGTGGATCCCTAGCACAGCTCACTTCCTTTTTTCACTGCTTTGTGCAATAATTTACACTCTCAGGTGCAAAACCATTAGAAAATATAATGTAATGCTGTGCCTTATGTGAACGGCTGGAGAAGTGTGACCGGTCAGCACTTCGTTTTACAGGGTTAATTGCACAAGAGATGTAGAGATGAGGGGAATGAACCGCTTGCAGAGAAGACAGAGGAATCGTGGCCTGCTGCTTCTTGTGCTCACTAGGATAAACAACCTGGATTAGGCTGGGAGCCACGAGCAGGGTCCGTGCACGGCCGCCTGCTCCTGCTGCATCTCCCCTTCTCCCTTGGAGCCCCCAAAGATGCTCCCCAGCTGCCTGCTTGACCCAATGAAGGCACCATTGTTGTGCTCCTCCTCACGCATGGCTGGATAAGCTGACCTCACGTATGATTTTTTTTCCCTCCCCCTCCCCTCCCTGCCCTTAATTCCAGCAAACCCCGCTCAGAGGCTCAGCATAAGCTGGATGAACAGGCTCTCTCTCCCCGTCTTACAACCCTGCCCTGTCTCTGACCAAGCAGAGTAGGGAATATCGCAGTCTCTAAAAGGGAAGAAGGAAGAAAATGTGGTCCATGGAGCAGAGGCGGACACACTCAGCATGCTCCACTTGAATCTGTGTGTGTTAGCGAAAGCTGGAGGTGCCGCGTCACGGCTGAAAGCACTAAAAGCCTCCAAGCATCGGTGCTCTGGGAGCAAGCTGTGAGTCTGAGCATCCAGGGGACAGAAGCGGCTTTGGCCAGTACCTACCCACAAGGGATGCTCGTATTTCAGTTGCTTCATGTCCCCTCTGCCTCTGATGAGGAAGGATTTCAGCTGAGCCATCCCAGCCCTTTGGCAGAGGCAATACCCAGCCCTGAGGTGCTGCAGAGCCTGACTCTGAATTATTCAGCAACCACACAGCGTGGCCTCCTTATCTAGCTTCGAAATGAGCAGACAGGAGGAAAACAGGCAAGATAGTGGGTTAAAGCAGGTCAAAGCCTCATCACTGCTGCTCTGGATCCAACCTGAATCAGAGTAAGAGCTTCAGGGAGCTGCAGCTCTCCTACCTCTGGTAGGAGTGAGGGGATGGGAGTCAGCTCCAGGGCACAGCCTTAAAATCCAGCTGAGGAGGAGTTTAAGAACCCCAGGGGAGGGGTACAAGAAAGGCAGGGCCTGGCATCCCTCTTGTCTTCTCTGAAGTCTGGGATGACTTGGAGGGCGGTGCTTGGCTCCCATCCTTGACCCTGCTAGTCTCACGGTGGGGAGGTCAGCCCTGGGTGGCCACCACCTGGTCCCCTGTTGTGGCCTGAGGAGCTTCAATCAGCCCACTCCACTGGCAGCACATCCTTGCTCCTGGCGTTCCCTGCTGAGGACCAGGCAGCGGTTTGAAGGTGCTTCTGTTGGCTCCAAAAGGAGTGTGAAACCTACTCGCCATTAATTTGGCTCCAGCTATTAAACCTCTGCCAAGCACCCTTCTCTGAAGCATGGATGCATGCAGGAGGTCGTCAGATGTGCCTGTTCGGACGTGCACGTGTTTGCTTGCTGCTGAGGAGGGCTGGGAGCTGAGCAGCCCCTGCCGGGACAGCCCCCGCTGCCTCGTGCCGCTGCAAAATCACCCACGCGCCTGGTCCCCGGCCAGCGGGATGGGCATGGGCTAGGTGCTCGTGGATGGCCCCCAGCCACCACGTGTAGGGTGGTGGGATACTGCTCTTCCCAAAGAAGACCCTCGCTTTCTGGTTGGTATAAGCAAGGAAAATTAAAAAAAGAGAAAGCAGAGGCAGCCGGTCACCCTGCCTGCCAGCACCTGGGTCACTGCTCGGCCCTTCGCCACTGAGCAAAAGTTTCGTTATCCAAAGGATCAATTTTGCCAGGGAATTGCTTTCTGGATTTGACCTTTGAGGATCATCAATCTAAGCAGAGAACTGTAACCCCAGCAAGCTGACCCCGCAACAAAGCGCTTTTCAGCCCAATCAATCAGGCTGCATTATTTAATAGTGAACAGCTGAGCACCTTCAGCCAGCTCCGGCTGCCACCCCCTTGCCAGCCAAAGGGTTCTGCCGGGGCCTCTGCTGCTCCTGCTCGCAGGTCAGCTT